TGAGTAACCCAAATATGGGCATTTCCTTTATATCAGTAACCAATCCTGAATGTCCAAAGGGTGATTTATAGCTAATGACGAAATCTCATTGGCTACTGCTGGTTTCTGCTAACGTGATTCGCTCAGACGCATCACGTGGCATACTCTGCCAGTCTGCAAGTTCTTGGTCTTGAAAGTGGCCGTTGCGTTGCTTTATCACTAGAAAATATTGAAATGTTTCATTAAACACGAAAGTACTATCCAATCATTTGAGACATTTATCCTTGTAGAACCTTTTTTTTTGCATAAAGTGTTCTTTAAAATCGTGCTGTAACGTGAATAAGTAACGGCTGAAGGGGTTTCTCCGCTTCGCCTTGTGCCTTACAACGCCCTCCAGCCGTTACTTATTCACGATACAGCACAGCCTCTCGTACCTTATTGCTTACATAATGCCCTTTGAATCTGAATGTGTGTGAAAATGAATAAAAGTTGTTTGTTTTTTACTGCCACTAGTGTTCACTTCAAGCTGGAAACTGCACTGAATTGCAGTGATGTATAAGCACGTTTTTTAAAGGGATACTTCACCTCTGGAAAGATGGATGTGTATTTAAAATGGGTCATTTATGTAGAAGAAATATTAAATTATTTTTTTGATTTTTGAGCTTTCTAGACTGAGAAAAGCCAGAAAATGTATTTTTGGCTTATGTGGATGAAAGACAACAACTCCCAGAATGCATTTGCTTCGCTCCCCTAGGAGGCCACGCCTACCGGTAACAGAGCGGAGTAGTTAAACAACAAGTCTAGGCTACTAGTGAGTCTCGTGATGAGTCTGCCCGGGATTTCGAGATCACTCAAAATGTCCGGGATTCTGCTTTTGCGTTCTACAGTCGCCATTCATCATGTTTACTGTGGCAAGAAGGACGAGTGAGGGCCGCGGGAGAACGGCGCGAGGCCGGTGGTGTGATTACCGATGACCGACAGCTGTGAGACGCACCGGTCTCGTATCTCTCACAGAGGAGCGGGAATTTTCCTAGCAATGTTAAAACGCACATCACTTGTTTAGCGTTCATGTAAACACTACATTCAGATTCAATCGGAATGAATTCAGTTAGATTGAAACAAAAGCTGTACATGTAAATAATGAATGGCGACTGCAAAAAGCAAAAGCTGAATTGGCCAGACATGTCCGGGAAAAAGAGGATGGTTACTCCATTACTCCACAGAACTTCTCCACTCGCTTTCTCCACAGAACAAGAGCCTTCTAGCTTAGTGTAACGGTTTGTATATAGTTAAATTCCTGCTTAAATGGGGTAAGCGCCATCTGCTGGCGTCACTTGGTATTGCGCCACGGTGTTAAAAATAGCGAATTCTGGGTAATCCACAGCAGAATTTCTGGTAACTGCTGTGGTAAATCGCATGTTAAACGCTGCAGAGACAAAAATAGCCTAAGTGCCTTAAATATCACTACACAATGTTTATTTCACTGTATTTTTGTTATGATGTAATTAAGAGATGTATGCTGTTTGTCTGATGTTGAGTGAGTCATTAGTTTAGAGTTTAAATGTTATATGTAGCACATGTTGCATGGCTGCCGCTAATGATATTCCTCCATCTGATTTACTGTGTGTTGTGTAGGGCTGTGTTTAATTTCTCTGTCTGCGATGTCATGCCACTCCTGATTCATTTTGGTTTCCCCTTGTGCAGGTAATACTGAATTTGATGTTTATTTTTGTTATGTGGAAAATGTACGTTATAACAGCAATATTCCTGTTGAAAACAATTTCAAACAGTTTCATATGGCAGAAATACTTAAGTCAGAGATTTTATTTATTTTATTTTATTTTTTTCACATTTTTCTGTGGGAAAGACAACGAATTGTGAAACATTTCATTCAAACATTCCACTATACGATCACACTGGAATCAGTTAATAAAAAAGAGCAGAATTTCTGGTAACTGCTGTGGGCTGTGTTTTGTTCTCTGTTTGCGATGTCATGCCACTCCTGATTCGTTTTGGTTTCCCCTTGTGCAGATGTTCCATATACACAACAAGAGTGATAAATAGAGGACCGTCACATTAGCTTCCAAAAAAAGATGGCCGACACTATGTGTTCATTCTGTGAGTGAGATCCACCATCTATGGGCGGGTTGAGAACATGCGGGACAGACCCAACTACTGACTGTAGTCTTTAGCATCTGGACAAAACATACTCAAATGACGCAAAATGACGATTTTTGCGTAATCGGAGGATTTTTTTTTTTTTGACAAAAAATACATAAATTTCTCGTCTCAGGGGGATATGAGGGTGGAAAGCATGGTAATTCGAAAAAACTACAGGTTTACTACTAATACAAAGCTTAATGCTAAATCCTGAAGTATCATTTTTGCAAAAAAAAAAATAAATAAATAAAAAATAGGTAGAGGCACATTTCCCAATGAGCTTAGGTTGCTTTTACCTCAGGCTATTCAGTCTAAGTGTGGACAACACGATCTTTAACATTCAAAACATTACAGAAACAAACCATTCATCATCATGTACAATTCAGTAGACTTCACAACAGAGGCACCATGAGGAGATAAAATGTTCCACGTGACCTGCATGTCACACTCCAAGAGACACCCAGATAAGAGCTCAGTGCTGGGAGATCAAAGACTTACAACATGAGTTAGGATGAGACCCTGAAGGAGCAAAGATAAAACACACAAAATGCCATGCAGAATATAGTTGACTTAAATAGGTGATCCTCTAACTAACACACATCATTGCTGGACTAGATTCTTGTTTTTGGCTGAACAGAATCAAGATTGAGGCACTGGCCGTCCATCATCAGTGTCGTGCTGGACTGGGTGAGGTGGTTTCGGTCCCAGGAGCTCGAGCTGTTGCTGTGGACTGGGCTGTTACCAAAGGGACACGTGGCTGCTAAGGAGATGCACTCACAAACACTGAAACGCGTCACAGCAAGACTCTCTCTAGGGGACAGACGCTCCAAAAAGTGCCACGGATGCTCTTGGATCCTCCTGGGAAGGTGCTATACTTGCAAGCTAGAAACTCATGATTGCGGCAATTTTTAGGATTTTACTGGAGGATTTTAACCACTAATGCAATAGAATAAAGAGCACATTAGTTGTGTAATTGATACTTTATTTGTAAATTATTATATATATATATATATATGATAAAATATTATTTCAAATGAAAATTTAGTTTAAAAAAATGTCATATTTTTTTTTCATTATCAGGATTTTTTTTTTTTTTTTTACTTTGTCTCCAAACAAAATATTGAAATTAAGAACAGAGGGGTGTCCAAACCTTATGTTTTTGAAATTAGGGATTTCATTGACCCAATTTCTACATAGTGGAAAAACAGGATCATTCCGACATCCTCTTTGATTGAGGACTAAATTTTGGATTTCATAATTGGATGTGATCTGATCTTTATTAAAACTCCATGCAAGCCCTTCAAAACGAGGCTTATTGGCAATCATTTGTGCTTGAGAAACTTCTTCTTGAAACTTTCCATGATCTTTCCTCACAGTCGCTCCTGTCCTCATTTTTCCCCTTTCCGGTTTTGTATCTGCAGTGCTGATGTCCCACAGGGGCCGAACACAAAACCCTTGACGGCAGCCATACACCTGTCGTCGTATATAGATACACACTCTCCTTCCTTTACCCCAGAACAGTGTGTGTGTATGTGTGACAACAGTGCCCTCTACAGAAATACACACTCACACATACTTTTGAACCAGGTGAACAGGAAGTATCCAGGGCTTTTAGGTGACATACAATCCTTAAAAACCATGATGATTGAAATTATTTATATAGGGGAGGTTGCCAGACACTTTTTACTCCAGTGAATATTTCTCAAGGTAGACACAGGGTTAATTAAGTAAAAAATCTATTGAACGTTTCAACCATTAGGCCTATTGTCGAAAAAAAATAAATCGGTGACAAAAACCGCCTGTTGTTTAAACAATGCATTATTAAATATGGATAATGTTAAAGAGAAAGTTCACTTTGAAATGCCTTTTTGGTATGTTTTATTTTACCTCAAGGGCATCCAAGATGTAGGTGTCTTTGTTTCCACAGTATTTTCAATTTTGATATTTTTAGGTCAAACCGTTCTTGTCTGTCAGTCATATAATGGAGGTCTATGGTCACCACCTCAAAGAGCATGCACAGAGAAGTCCAAATTAAACATGATTTAATGACTCGTAAATGTAAGTACACACTGATGGCCTAAGACACAAAACGAGCGGTTTGTGTGAGAAAACGAACAGTATTTATATCGTTTTACCTCTTGTTACCACAGCCACGTCCAAGTGATCTGAAGTCACGGGCGCTTCTCTCTGCGCAAGCACAGGAAGTGATCTCTCGCCCGTGTACGTCACTCATTGCCTGGACGTGGCTGTGGTTACAAGAGGTAAAAACGATAGAAATACTGTTCGTTTTCTCACACAAACCGCTTGTTTCGTGTCTCAGGCCATCAATGTGTACTTACATTTACGAGTCATCATGTTTAATTTGGATTTTCTGTGCATGCTCTTTGAGGTGGTGACTATAAACCTCCATTATATGACTGACAGACAAGAACGGTTTGACCTAAAAATATCAAAATTGAAAATACTGTGGAAACAAAGACACCTACATCTTGGATGCCCCGAGGTAAGCTAAAACATGCCAAAAATTAATTTCAAAGTGAACTATCCCTTTAAATAATGTTCTAGGTTCCATTCACAAACAGGATAGCAAAGGGACCATCGTATGCACACTTCAGAATCTTGCCGGAAATAGTTGGCCATCCTCTTTACCCACTCGTTTATGAGTACTGTGAATTCAGACATTCAACTTCTTTTGTCACATACTGTTTTTTGCCTATGTAGTTGGAAAGTATGTGATTTTGAATGCCATTTCATGCTGACTTTAAATAATGGTTTATTAAATATTTATAATGTTAAATAATGTTGTAATATTAAATTATAAATAAATGATATGTTAAATATAATTGTAAAAATAATGGTGTCCTGTATAAGCCATTTGTTGGATTAGAAATTAAACAAAATGTGCTAAATACAAAAATGATGTATAACATTAAATCTAGTTTTTTTTTTTTAAAACACACTTTATTTTGGATAAAACAAGTGATTAGATGTCAAATCAGTTTTGACTCTGAATTTGAAAGACAATTAAAAATAGTGGCAAAAGTGAATTCAAATAGCAAAACCTGCATATGTTCTATACCGTGAGAGAGCAATCTGAAATGAAAGCATATAGACAGTGCCAGTATACATCAGGAGCCTCTTCTCCACTCATCCGTCTCTCCACCCATCTGTCACTCCATCTCTCCGTCAGTTGGAAATGTCAGCGGCATCAATCTTCAAGCAGAGTCTACTGATACGTCTAACCCTGCGTGAAGTTCAGGACCCCGGGTAATAAACATCCTGACAGCTGAGACGGCCCCTCAGTCTTTTAGCATCGCCAAAAACACGGATGAGAAGAAAATCGGGGCCATGCACACACACGCACAGTGTCTCAGGAGCTCTCCAGCAGGGTAGAAACGGTGTAGATCTGTGTCTTCAGCCTCTTCTTCATCTCTCTGATCATTTGACAGAGGGCCAGAGGGTAGCAGCAATAAACCGTAGTCCAGTCCTCACACACACTGCCCTGGAGACACACACAGCACACTGTAATGTATTCTTAATTTAATATTACCAAGCAAATTAAGGTCTGTAGATTTCAAAGTAAGGATACGTTTCCCTGATATTGATTTAACACCTCCCTCCAAGTAGAGGAATCTAGTTATGAAATTTAATTCAAGGTATCTTCATCTAACTGTCAAATACTGGATGTGTTTTACTTCAAGCACGAGAAGGATATGACAAGATAAATCTGTAAAACACTTTTTTTTTCATAATCCATTGGTTAGTGGAAACTCGACACTGATATCTGAAATCTATTCCCTAGATTTCCACAACCCGGTCTCATCCCAAGACGTCATATAACTGACGTTTTGGGACGTCTTTTGACCACACGTCAATATTCGCCTTTTTAGGGCCCCCTTAAACGTCGGTAGATGAGGTTATGGGATCCTAACTCTACCCCATACCTAAACCTAACCCGTCACCTAACTGACGTTAAAGGTAAAGCGTCAGTTGTATGACGGCCCGGGATCGCCATCTACCGACGTTTAAGGGGGCCCTAAAAAGGCGGATATTGACGTATGGTCAAAATACGTCCCAAAACGTCAGTTATATGACTTTTTGGGATGAGACTGTGTTAATTTTCACGACGCGTGCGCGAGAATTGCAATCTCCTTCAACTACTTCAGTTCAGTTCTTGCGCATGCGTCGTGGAAATCTCTTGAAGTCTCGTTTCTGGCCAACAAGGAAGAAAAGGAATAGTCGAATAAAGTCGTTATTTTTGTTTGTTTTTTCGCACAAAAAGTAGTCTCGTCGCTTGATAAACTTATAGTTGAGCCACGGTAGTCACATGGGATATTTAAACATTTTCTTCATTGACTTTCTGGGCCGTCAAGAGCCAGTCCCGGAAGTCTATGTGGTAGTGAGACCCCAGATAGCAAACTGACATTGAATCAACGTGGAAATATGACATCGAAACAACGTTGATCTGACATTGTTTTGCTCATCGAATTAACGTTGAACCAACGTTCAAAACTAACGGAAAATCAACTTGAAATCAACGCGTTGTTTCAACGTTATGAAAGCAAACCAATTTTCGATTTTCATTTAGCTTTGAAGAATGCCGCGTCTGACGTTAGTTCAACGTTAATTCGATGAGCAAAATCAACGTTGTTTCAATGTCATGAGAGACGTCGTTTCCATGTTGATTCAATGTCAGTTTGCTGTCTGGGACAGCTCTCAAATTGAATCAAAAATATCTTCATTTGTGTTCCGAAGACGAACGAAGGTCTCACGGGGTTGGTACAGCATGGGGGTGAGTAATTAATGACTTAATTTTCATTTTTGGGTGAACTAACCCTTTAAATGCGCATAAGTGGTTAAAAAAAATGCGTGCTATTCTGGTAACGAAATTTGAAAATCATGTCAAATCAATTTGAAGCAGCAGTCGCAATAGAATTTGAGCGTACAAAATTTCTTTGGACACTGCAACAGTCCAGTCGTGATATGACATCATGCACTATGATGTATGTAAACATGAATTAAACATACTATAACAAATAATAATACACTCAAAATGTAAAAAAAAAAAAAAAATCTACAGTCTACTTAAATTCTATGCAAAAATTTATATATATTTTTATTCAGCCAAGAGGTCATGCCGAGAAGTATCGATCTTCGACTAACACGTCGTCATGTGATGCGAATTCACAGCTCATAGTTGACCAAACTTGAACTTTCTGGAACTGTCACGGTTTGGGTTTTGTTCCTTGTACTTTGTTTCTGTTCCTTGTCTTGTAATTATGGTAGGTTCACATGCTTTGGAAAAGATGATATTTTCCACTTGTGAATTGGTATTTACCAGTGTGTTGTGTTCAAGTGCTTTTGTTGTCGTAATGTGGTAAAAAGATGGAGATCCAGACCTGTTATTTAGCTAAAACTATTTTAGATTGCTTAAGTCATCTGCTACAGCAAGAAAATGATTTATCAAAACTCGTATATCATCTGGATCATGAATTGTACATATTTTTACCATTCACGACTCTTGCGTTGCTCTCTGAAATATTGAAAAGGTCAAAGGTTATCTCATCTCAGCAAAAAAAAAAATGCATAAAAATCTTCTACAAGTTGTCCAGTGGAAAATACCACATGAGGGGGTGTTAATGTGCATTTTCCACGTCGGCTTTTGGCATTTACTATAATTACCGTAACACATGAACGCACCATTAGTCTGTGTATTTAAGCCCTCATTGTTTGAATGTTTCTTGTCCAGGTCGTACTTTTTTCTGTTTCATGCCTGATGCATAAATGCATTCGCAAAATGAACGAATCTTTTCCTGAGTCAATTCATTCATTTCGTTCGTTGAATGAACCAAATGACACGAAAAAAGATTTGTTCATTTTTATGAACGAGTTTGAAAAGGAGAGTCACAAACGCGCATCACAAGAACAGAGCAAGGCGAGCATTTGAGCTTATAAAACTTAAACGTTGTTTTTTTTTGTTTTTAATGAGCGATCGTTTCGCTTAATAAGACCCTTATTCATCGTCTGGAATCGTTTAAAGCCCTTTGAACAGTTTGCAGTTTGCACTGAAACTGTCTTTTGGACCTTGAACTGTTTGTTTCCCATTGAAGTCCATTATATGGAGAAAATCCTGGAATGTTTTCATCATTAATTTCTTTTCGACTGAAGAAGGAAAGACATGGACATCTTGGATGACATGGGGGTGAGTAAATTATCAGCAAAAGTTTGTTTAAAAGTGAACTACTCCTTTAAGCATTAAAAAACAATCTGATTTTTTTTTTTTACTACATGGTATTATTACAATAAAAGTAAACTGTAGAATTAGATATTGGATTTTGAACTGTATAGCAAAATAGTCAAATATTATAGTAATGGGATCATGCATTTTTCTTTATTTAATGTTTCATTTTATGAATAATTTTGCATACTAAACGGATCAAATAGATCATTATAGGTCATCGAAACTCAAAAACTCCATTCCCAGCATGTCACATTATTTACATTAGCTGAATCCTTACCCTGATTTTAAACCGCTCTCTAATGCCCACTCTCATGGCGAACGTGGAGCCAGGCAGAAGAGGCAAACACACACATTCTCCATACTGATGAGCCAGGCTCAGGTCCAAACAACATGGCACAAACGCACCCATCAGACCTGCACAGAAGAGAGCAGAGATGCTTTGAAACGTGTGCTGGGATCTGTCGAGAAACTTTAACACTGCTTATATTGACTGCCTTTAAAAAATTCAATTCTAATAAAAATGCCTTTGAAAGACAAATCAATGTCCTTGGAGGAAGTAAAATTTTGTTTTATGCCCAGCTTTATTTTTTAATGAACGGAAAAATCATTAACAATTTATAATCATTAAAGGAATGTCATTAACTTTTAATGATTATGAAACGGTACACAAACCACTGGATTAGGAAAACAACAGTAATCACTCATACATGATAGACTACACATTAAGGCTAGCTGTGATCCAAAGAGTTTGATCTACAAGATTTTTAAGACATTTTTGCGATTTGTGAAATACATAATCTGTGGATTTGTATTTTCAGAGGGATAGAGCACATCTTTCAGACAAATTGAGTTATGTTTAATTGTGCCAAACTGCAATTTGCTACAGTAGTACAACACAAAATAAAGTATCATTTAAATATTTTAGGAGACATTTTATAACAATAAATGTAATTATGAAGAAATATAATCAAATGAGTTGTGAGTGTGGGATTGTGTTTTTTCCAAATGTATACAAAATAACAAAATGTGATGCTAAGAGTCCCGAAAGATATAAACATATGCAGCAATAGAACTTCATGTACAGTAATCTAGATCTCAGTTGGTTGTATAGAGAAGACTAACAATACATAAGATGCTGTGTTGGACTTCTCGAGGCTACACGTGTTTTAGAACAAATTGTGTCCCACTAGAGTTCCAGGCCAGTTTCATTATCCTGGAACAGACAAATATGTTTTCTTTGTTGCCAAGTAGACAGTCATAGATGGTTCGTCCAAAAATGAAAATTCGAATGTTGTTCAAAACCTGTAAGACTTTTGTTCATCTTCGGAACACATGAAGATACATTTGATGAAATCTGAATGATTTCTGTCCCTCCAAATTCTCCTAAATTCCTAAAAACCCTCAATTCAATAAGTTCATCATATAAATTCAGACTAAACTGCTCAATTCGTATGGATTAGTTTTACGATCTCTTTGTGAACTGCTGTCAATGGAGGGACAGAAAGCTCTCAGATTTCATCAAAAATTTCATCTTCATTTGTGTTCTGAAGATGAACGAAAGTCTGACATGAGGGTGAGTAATTATTAACAGAATTTTAATTTTTGGATGGACTAACCCTTTAAAACAATAAAAAAAATGAAGAAATAATAATGGAAGCCTGTTCCTGCCTGCTTTTTTTTTTTTTTTGCTTTAATTTGCTGTAACTTATTTCGCAACGTATTGTCAATTTATTTCTTACAATTGCGATGTTATACCTCCCCTAATATTACATTCTAAAAATGTCTTTATATCTTGCAAAGTGAGCAAAGTGAATGCATTTTTGGTATGTTTTAGTTTACGTCAAGGGAATCCAAGATGTAGGTGTCTTTGTTTCCGCAGTAGTTTCAATTTTGATTTTTTTAGGTCAAACCGTTCTTGTCTGTCAGTCAATGGAGGTCTATGGTCACCACCTCAAAGAGCATGCACAGAGAAGTCCAAATTAAACATGATTTAATGACTCGTAAATGTAAGTACTCATTGATGGCCTAAGACACGAAACGAGCGGTTTGTGTGAGTATTTATATCGTTTTTACCTCATTGAAAAACCAGACAAAGCGCCCGTGCCCTCAGATCACTTGGACGTGGCTATGGTTACAAGGGCTAAAAACAATATAAATACTGTTCGTTTTCTCACACAAACCGCTCGTTTCGTGTCTCAGTCCATCAATGTTTACTTACATTTAGGAGTCATTAAATCATGTTTAATTTGGACTTCTCTGTGCATGCTCTTTGAGGTGGTGACCATAGACCTCCATTATATGACTGACAGACAAGAACGGTTTGACCTAAAAATACCAAACTTGAAACTATTGCGGAAACAAAGACACCTACATCTTGGATGCCCTTGACGTAAGCTAAAACATACCAAAAATGCATTTCAAAGTGAACTATCGCTTTAAATATTGCAGATGCGACCTTATGACTCACAATGTGGCTTTACATCCAGTTTTTTGTGAAACTTTATACAATGGGCTCCACAGATATTGGCAATGTGATCGTTTTTGTATTTGCAAATTTATATCTTGCAACTATGACTTTAGCAACTTACATCATTCCAAATTTTGACTTGTTGCTTTAGTTTAGTATGTGGTTCGTCACAGTGTGATTTCGTATAGCTCACAATGCGACGATATTAATTGTAAACTTCAAGCGCTTCCTCTTACATGTGCTGGCGTCACTACACACGTCAAACAGTCCTGAGCTCCAGTCTCCCCCTGTTTGAGTGATAGTGGTCACCGTCGTCGTGGTCTCCCCGAGGCCAGGTTGAGTCAGCACAGGAAGTTCCATCGCCTCACTTCCTGTTTGGTTTGCTTCGACATCTTTTCCACCTGGAGAGTCCATTTGAATCTGAAGGCGATACAAGAAATCAGATCAAAAACATTGACGCACAATCCTATAAGAAAAGTCCTCACCTGACCTAAAAAAGTTTTTTACAGCATTGTGATATTAAATATATGAAATGCATATTAATGAGGGTGAACACTTACTTGGTGAATGTGGCTCAGAACAATCCCTCACGATGACAACAGACTAAGGGAAAAGACAGGGGTGAGTTTCCTATAGTGACAGTGGTGTGTGTTCGTTCTGATAGTCGCTTCGCCAAGGAGCCCTGACAGAAGCTGCTGTGAGCTGATAAGCCTTCACACACACACACACATGCACAGGAGACCCTCACATCTCGCATTCAAATACTAACTCTCAAGTCACAAACAGCAATGTAACACAATAGCAGTCACAGTACAGAAATTCCTCTCAAATGCAATTATACAACACATAATCATGTATAATTGGGACTCCAGGCCTACTTACAAACATCCCACTGGAGCCTACAATTCACACACATAAAAATATCAAATCGAATGACACCTCGAATACGCAACTGAAGCTTACCAGCGATCCAGCCTGTGTGAATAAGATGTTACATAAATTCACCCCAAGAGCAGCAGTGCAGAATAGCACGTCCTCTTGAGGTTAATGTCTCGCATCACTTCCTTCTGCACCGCAGCTAACGCACATCCAACGGTGTCACATCCACTATAATGAAACATTGCATGTAGCTGTCATACGTAGAACGGCTCGCTTATATGTTTGCCAGTCAAGTCTGTTGAGGTGCATGTAATCGTTTTTCTGAACGCGCTTCTTTGCGGCTGATCTCGTCTCCACTTGCATTAGACTGTAAAATTGAGCCGTCTTCATATCTGCTATGGCCTGCTTGGGATTGGACTCATAGGGTTGGCACATTCTCAGAAAACAGGAACATTTGTGTCCGAAAATGTGTTTTTTGCAACTTTTCTTTGTCATTGGACTCAACCTTAGCATTTTCTCACTTCAGTCCAAGCTGTAAACCAAAGATTATGAGGGAATTTCAGATTACTGATCATCCAATATGGTTTTATCAAAATAACCAATAGTTATATATTGTCACCAACCTTACAGAAAATCTTAAAGGGATAGTTCACTTTGAAATTAATTTTTGGTATGTTTTAGCTTACCTCAAGGGCATCCAAGAGTGTCTTTGTTTCCGCTGTAGTTTCAATGTTGATATTTTTAGGTCAAACCGTTCTTGTCTGTCAGTCGTATAATGGAGGTCTATGGTCACCACCTTAAAGAGCATGCACAGAGAAGTCCAAATTAAACATGATTTAATGACTCGTAAATGTGAGTACACATGGCCTAAGACATGCAGATACCTGTAGAAGCGCCCGCGCCCTCAGATCACTTGGACGTGACTGTGATTACAAGAGGTAACTATATAAATACTGTTCGTTTTCTCACACAAACCGCTCGTTTCGTGTCTTAGGCCATCAATGTGTACTTACATTTACGAGTCATTAAATCATGTTTAATTTGGACTTCTCTGTGCATGCTCTTTGAGGTGGTGACCATAGACCTGCATTATATGACTGATAGACAAGAACGGTTTGACCTAAAAATGTCAAAATTGAAAATACTGTGGAAACAAAGACACCTACATCTTGGATGCCCTTGAGGTAAGATAAAACATGCCAAAAATTAGTTTCAAAGTGAACTATCCCTTTAAGATTTTTTTCATTTTTTTTTAAGAAGTCTACCAAGGCATGCGTGAACTTCATGCGTGTTGTCATGTGAACTTCCTTCAAAAACAAATCAAAAATATAGTAAAATCAATATTATTGTGAAATATTATTACGATGTAAAATAACCTTTTTCTAATTGTATATTTTTTAAAATGTCATTCGTTCCTGTGACGACAAAGCTGAATTTTCAGCATTACGCCAGTCTTCAGTGTCACATTTAATAATGTAGCTTTCAGTAGTGAGCTATTTTATTTATAGCAATTCATGGGGAAGAGGTTTAAGTTTATGCGCCTGAACGTTTCTGTGTGCACAATTTCTTACTAATATAACGTTTCCTGTAGCACTTTATTTTACCTGTACATACAATGCGCTTATTACAGTAATTGCAAAAACTTGGTAATAACTAAATACGTACCCTGTACTTACACCTAAACCTAACATTAAAGGGTTAGTACACCCGAAAATTACATTTCTGTCAGTAATTACTCACCCTCATGCCGTTCCAAACCATATTTTAGATGAAATCCGGGAATACGGGGGTCAGAAAGCTCTCGGATTTCATCAAAAGCAGAACTGTTTTCTGGCCGAGGGTTCAGCAGTGAGAGACAATCCTGATTCTGCCTCATATAACAGTATTTTCAGTCGTCTATGATTATTAGATACTTTGGAATTTAAAAAATGATATGTATAATTATATCTTCTTCATCATGTATTTATACTTTAATTAAAAAAAAGAACACATTATCTTGACCAAACATCACCACAACAAACAACTGTTTTCAACATTGACAATAATAAGAAATGCAAACCAAATCATCATGGAATAATTTCTGAAGGATCATGAGACTCTGAAGAATGGAGTAATGATGCTGAAAATTCAGCTTTGTCAAAGTAATATTTATAATAATAGTATATTTATTAATAGTAATATTTTACAAACACACACTATATGTACTGTATGTGCAAATATTTAATGCACACGCCCCAGACATACATGGGTTATCTTACATTTCATGCAGTTGATTGATGATGAACATGGTATTTAAAGAATATTTTAAATTCTTTAATAATTCCATGATTGTGGGACCATGTCAAATGCTGTATGAAAATGTGTCAGCACTACATTTCAGAAAACTCACAGGCAACCAAATGGTAAACTGCATTCATATAGCGCTTTCACAGATCCAATGGCCACCAAAGCGCTTTACATTTTGCCTCACATTCACCCATTCATAAACTCACTCACACACCGACGAACCAACACGCTGTACACTACACTACACCACAGTGAGCTGAATGTAAGAAGCATTACCCATGCACAGCGTACTTCTAAAATTAGCCTGTCTCTAGCTGCATGAAGCACAGGCCAGATCAACCATTAAAAGAGAGAGAGAGAGAGAGAGAGAGAGAGAGAGAGAGAGAGAGAGAGAGAGAGAGAGAGAGAGAGAGAGAGAGAGAGAGAGAGAGAATAGGGCCTCAGTGGCTCTCATCATCACCTCAGATCTGAAGACACAGAACGGTTTCCCAGGGCAACAGTCCTCCTTTACTTTGTCATCCGCTTCAGAGGCGAATACAACGTCTATCTGATCCAACTGATGGAGGAGACGGAGAGGGAGAGAGGGGTTAGAGAGAAACAACTAACAATGAGATCAGGCCTAAAGTCAACTAATGATAGTGCTCACTGCATTCAACACTGCGCTTTGGTTGGATATTGAAAAAACTAAAAAAAAACAAAAACACCTTTGCTATGTATTTTTAGAGTAAAAGACAATATTCAAAGGGAAATTACATAAGGTGGGGCTTGTTTTTATTGAGCAGGAACTTTCTGGACTGTGATGATTGGATAATATAATTTGCCCCGCCCACACGGCCTTGATTACATCAGCAGACATGAAAAGTTGTTTGAGAGGCAGAAAACATTTTGAATTATTATTTTTGTTTAGAGTATTGTGCGCTGATGAGACAAGTCCAGGGAGATTCATTAAGCCATACATTAAGTTAATATCGATTTTGTATTTAAGTGTTTGAAAGTAAGGGTCTTTCTTGATTTCTACGGAGGCGTATTGCATTCACTTGAAGAAAAAGAATCTACTCTGTTTTTCTGAATTAACAAGTTAATTTTTCATGAGAAAAAAAAATTGCTCTGTTTTTCTGAATTAATGAGTTAATTTTTCATGAGAAAAAAAGTTTTTGCTCTGTTTTTCTGAATTAATGAGTTAATTTTTCATGAGAAAAAAAATTTGCTCTGTTTTTCTGAATTAATGAGTTAATTTTTCATGAGAAAAAAAGTTTTTGCTCTGTTTTTCTGAATTAATGAGTTAATTTTTCATGAGAAAAAAAGTTTTTGCTCTGTTTTTCTGAATTAATGAGTTAATTTTTCATGAGAAAAAAAATTTGCTCTGTTTTTCTGAATTAATGAGTTAATTTTTCATGAGAAAAAAAATTTGCTGTTTTTCTGAATTAATGAGTTAATTTTTCATGAGAAAAAAAATTTGCTCTGTTTTTCTGAATTAATGAGTTAATTTTCATGAGAAAAAAAATTTGCTCTGTTTTTTCTGAATTAATGAGTTAATTTTTCATGAGAAAAAAATTTGCTCTGTTTTTCTGAATTAATGAGTTAGTTTTCTTGAGAAAAAAAGTTTTTGCTCTGATTTTCTGAATTAATGAGTTAATTTTTCATGAGAAAATTTATTTTTGCTGTTTTTCTGAATTAACTCATTAATTCAGAAAAACAGAGCAAAAAAAAAAATTCCATTAAAAATTAACTCATTAATTCAGAAAAACAGAGCAAAACATTTTTTCTCATGAAAAATTAACTCGTTAATTCAGAAAAACAGAGCAAAAAAAAATTTCTCATGAAAAATTAACTCGTTAATTCAGAAAAACAGAGCAAATTTTTTTTCTCATGAAAAATTAACTCATTAATTCAGAAAAACAGAGCACATTTTTTTTCTCATGAAAAATTAACTCAATAATTCAGAAAAACAGAGCACATTTTTTTTTTCTCATGAAAAATTAACTCATTAATTCAGAAAAACAGAGCAATTTTTTTTCTCATGAAATATTAACTCGTTAATTCAGAAAAACAGAGTAGATTTTTTTTCTTCAAGTGAATGCAATACGCCTCCGTAGATTTCAATCCTTTGGTTTTGTAGAAACTGTACATTTAGTTGGCTTAACAAGTAGTTGTGCGCTATTACCTCGAGAGAATTAGTCAAATAAACGATGTTCTCCAGTAAGACGGTGCGCTCGTCAAACTCCAGCTCTAGATCAAGAACCCTGGGCCCCATTTTGATAAATATGTGCAATATAAGGTTGACCAGATTTCTCAGAGTGGAACACTTTGTATTGGCATTATGTTTTGCATTATTGTAAATACTGAATTTGAATCCTGAACACTAAACATGTCCTACAAACATTATGTATATGGACTTATAACACTTTAGTTTAGGGTCCAATTCACACTATTAAGCTTGCATATTACTAGGATATTGGCTGTTTATTAATGCTTATAAAGCACATATTAATGCCTTATTCTGAATGACCATATTCTATATCCGTTAATCTTACTCAACAACCTTACTAACTTTAAATTAGCAGTAAATATGAGTTTATGAAGGCAAAAGTTATAAATAATAGTTAATCGAATCTAAAGTGTGACCCGAAACACAAAGAATATTGACTGGAATGGAGGAAATTTAGGGACATTTTTTTCCCCCATTACATCTCACAGTCTAGTTTCCTTCACATAGTCTAAAAAACATCAGCACAACAACTCCTTATCCAAATCGACATCCATTACCACATGATCTCAACAACAGGACTGAGAAAAGCCTCTTTCCTGAGAGCCTTGACTCAAAACGCTTACGTAAGGACCGGCATAGGTAGAAACAGACTGTAGGGAAACCGTCCCATGATAAAAGCGAGGGATAATGCATTACTCTTCTGTCAGAGGAGGTCTGGGACGGCGCTGAACTCACTCTACATGACAGCTGTCGACGACTCATTCTTGAGGTCAATTCTGTTTCGGTGCAGGATCTCTGTCTAACGGCTTAATGTTACAAGGATTTAATATGGATGCTACTATTCCTAGCTAACATAAAACACTAAAAGAAACAAAAACAGTTTTTGTCAGTTGCTAAGGTGTTCTGGGTGGTTGCTAGGGTGTTGTTAGGCACTTGCTAGGGGGTTCTGGGTGGTTACTAGGGTGTTGCTAAGCAGTTGCTAGGGTGTTCTGGGTGGTTGCTTGGGTGTTGCTAGGCAGTTGCTAAGGTGTTCTGGGTGGTTGCTAGGCGGTTGCTAGGGTTGGCCACTTTTAGTTTCCCCAAAAATCTTCATAACTACAAGACATTTCTGAACATTTTTATGTGGTGTAGCAGGGATGAGGTTTTGAATATACACTAGTTGCTATGCAACACATTCAGTCCGTGAAATCAACAGCCACTCTCACCCTTCATGAGTGCAAAGTTTGGCGAGTTTTCACCATAACGATAAAAAGTTAGAGCTGTTCAAATTGTCTATCATTATCATAATTACAATAAATATAGCTGCAAGCAGCAATTACAAAAGCAAGCACGGCAATGGTAATTATCAAAATGACCCTAAATGCTATAACACAAAAAGACGGTGGGTCAATGTTGGCTTGTTGTTGAGTGACCTTTGCCACTAATTGGACACAGTCAATGGATTTTTTCAGCTCACTGATCATGTTGATTTGGGGTCAAAGTTGTTAAAAGGCCAACTCTGAGTTTTGGCCAACAAAAATACTTCATTCCTGCAGCACTCTATTTTAATCGTATTTACAGTAAGTGGTCCTAACCCATGCTAGTGTTAAACTATCAAGGCAAAAGCTGAATGTGGAATATGGGAATAATTTACATATAAAATAAAACCAGACTCCAACTTTCCATTTAAAAAAACTCTCAAACCATTTCTGGAAGAGCAAATACCTGATTCCTTGTCCGTCGAGAACCCCTCCCTGGAGGAGATGGGCCACGGTGTAGTAGGCCATATAGATGGTGGAGTCCGACAGGGACTCAATGAGCCATTGTTCATCCCATGGCAACCGGGTTCCTATGGGAAACAAACACATGAAAGAACTAGAAAATCAAAGGTTCTCTCTGAGGAACAGCAGGAAAATTGCTGATGGTATCGCTGAGTGGTTTGGGGGCAAGGGAGGAGCGAGAAATAAGAGTATTACAAAAGAAATATAGATGAGCCTTGTCCTTACAAAAAGACTTTGATTAAGATAAGCTTCACACAAAGGTGGCCATCTGAGGGGATTTCAAAAGAAAAACTTTGTGCAGTTTGCCTAACTATTACAAGCAATTTATTCCAAAAGAAAAACCAAACTCGATACGAAAAGCTTGCAACAAAGCTACAACGGCGCAGACATTAGCAGGTCTTACCTAACCCATACGTTCTGGAACAGGCGTGCTCCTGAAGCCAAGCCAGCGTTGCTTCAAAGTTCTTTCTGGTTTCATCACAGAACCTGAACGTCAATATTCACACATTAATGACGCTTCTCCAGCAAGAATGGCACCCCAAAGCAACATGACAACTTTGTCAATGCCAAAAAGTGCAAGACTTACGTCTCCAGAGCCTCCAGGACACCCATGGCTTGCCTTTTCCATTCCTCATTGCCATAATCCAGATACCTGCCAGATAAAGACCCCAGTCACTGTCTGACAAGTCAAATCGATCAGGGACTCCGCATGACAATGAACCGCGACAAAAAAAGGACTAAAATCACATTCTCTTATTGAACAGGAAGTGAATTCAAGATATTTTCTTAACCCAAAGCCAGCTGCATCATTTTTGATATGCAAAGTTCTGATGCCTCTAAATTACAGTATCAACATGATCCACCTGAAAGACAAAAACAATTCATTCTGTTATCTCTGATTGCTCATACTATGTAGATGATCTTTTAGTATCATTCTAAATTCCTCCACGTTCAGGTCATGGTTCACGTGTCTTTTGCTGTGAAACTTTACTGATTTTTATAAAGTAATCGAAAGTTAAGCTTATTTTAGTCTATATTGTTGGGAATAAATTAAGATAAACACTTACTGAACTGAAGTAACTTAGGTTATACATTTTTTGATTATACATTTTTGCCGCCTATTCAAAACAAAGGCAGCTGTAACACAGTCTCATCCCAAGAAGTCATATAACTGACGTCTTGGGACGTCTTTTGACCATACGTCAACATCCGCCTTTTTAGGGCCCCCTTAAACGTCGGCTAGATGACGTTATCGGATCCTAACCCTACCCCAGACCTAAACCTACCCCTAAACCTACCCCGTCACCTAACCAATGTTAAAGGTAAAGCGTCAGTTGTGTGACGGCCCGGGATCGGGCCCTAAACCCTACGGTACCCTAAAAAGGCGGATGTTGACGTATGGTCAAAAGACGTCCCAAGACGTCAGTTATACGACATCTTGGGATGAGACTGCGCTGGCATAATAATAATAATAACAATAATTCTTTAACACTAGAAGTGCCAGAATTCCAAAACTACTAGAACGGCCACAAACGGTCATTTTGACCGTTAGATTCAAAACAGTGTTGATGAATAATTTTCGTAATTATTTTTGCCAACCACATTTTTTCAAAGACGAAAACGAGACAATCACTAAATAAAAACTAGGTTTGAATGACAAAAACTATGACGAAAATGTTAGATAGTGACGATTTGCGACGCGGTCAAGGCTAATAATAATAATAGGACTCGCAGAACTAGTGAACAGCCAATGCAGCAAAACAAACAGCGCAGGACAGGGCAGCGGAGCTCACCACGATCATCCGACATGAATGGACCATCTGGATCGGCCGTGTCTGATGATAGCAGCCGTCTCTTTTTCCTTGATGTGGACTCTGACTCTGAATCACTCTCTGATGAGGAGGAAATGTTAACTTGCACCCAGGAAACGTCGCTGTCACTTTCCACCTCCGATTGTTCCCCTGCATCCGAATTATAGATAACTGTAGTCCGGTTTTATTTGCTTATTTCTGATCAACAACTAATGTAGAAATTATTATATAGCAAACACTGCTACAGAGGTGATCGGACGGACCATTCTGTTGACAGTTGGGAGAGAACACGATCAACCGCGGGATATTTAATAAAAAAATACCGCAAAATTCAGTGCGGTCAATATGACCGTCTATGGCCGAAATAGGTAAATATGTTCATTTTTTTTTTTTTTTTTTGCCTTACGTTTACATAACTTAATTTATATGAAAAGCATTTTAAATGAAAATACAGACAATTTTAGGAAAAGTCAGGTACCAGCAGGATTTTATTATTTTTTTCAACAAAGTTATTGTAGATATAAAATTCAAAACGGTCAAAATGACCGTTCTAGTGTTAATAATTCATTACTTTTATATAGCGCTTTTCTCGGCACTCAAAGCGCTTTACATAGAAGGGGGAATCTCCTCAACCACCACCAGTGTGCAGCATCCACCTGGATGATGCGATGGCAGCCATATTGCGCCAGAACGCCCACCACACACCAGCTTACTGGTGGAGAGGAGACAGTGATGAAGCCAATTGGTATATCCCGGTCTCATCCCAAGACGTCATATAACTGACGTTTTGGGACGTCTTTTGACCACACGTCAATATTCGCCTTTTTAGGGCCCCCTTAAACGTCGGTAGATGAGGTTATGGGATCCTAACTCTACCCCATACCTAAACCTAACCCTAAACCTAACCCGTCATCTAACTGACGTTAAAGGTAAAGCGTCAGTTGTATGACGGCCCGGGATCGCCATCTACCGACGTTTAAGGGGGCCCTAAAAAGGCGGATATTGACGTATGGTCAAAATACGTCCCAAAACGTCAGTTAAATGACTTTTTGGGATGAGACTGTGTTAGGTATATATGGGGATGATTAGGAGGCCATGATGGACAGAGGCCACTGGGCAAATTTCGTAGCTTGATGATGCCGTTTTCGTATTACAGCTGTGACGCATTGCTGCCACATTCATATTTTTCCACTCAATTATGTCATAATAAAACTAATGAAGTGATTAAAACGACATGTTTTCTCATAATAACAAGATCATATGTCGTTTTAACATCTTTTTTCGTAATAACGAGATTTTATGTTATTAAAATGAAATATTTATCTCGTAATAATGAGACGCTATATGTCGTTAAAACGTATTTTCTTGGGCTTAAAAACATGTAGTCATGTACAAAATATGGCTTTATCCACATAAAATGTATAGCCTATAGCCTATCATGTCTTTACGTTCAAAAAGCTAAAAGCAAATAGCAGCAGCCTCCAATCAGAGGATAACCTACACTGACTGGGGCCCAGGTAAAATTAATCGGTGAGGCCCTTAGAGGGTATGCGCGTGACGTCACCGTCGGCCGGAGTGCCTGCAGTTACTCACAGAGAGTGGAAAAAAGACTGAGCGGCTGTATTTGTTTTCAGTGTGAATGCCGCAAAAAACAAACACAACACATAAAGTGATTGACAACTAGATTTAACAAAAAATCGGAGGTATATTTTTACAGACTGCTTTAGAAAGAGGAGCAAATGGATCGCTGCAATTCACAGAAACAACGAAAGGTGGATTTGCAGTTTTCATTTTGTGTCAATATCCTGAATTTAGGTGTAAAACCATACCCATATATTTTGTATTGTTATATATATATTAACAACTCATCAATTAAATATTAATCATTGCATATTCTGCATTATTGGATGTTTTTTAATAAACACTGACCAACAAAAACTATAAAGTTTTATGGCTATATATAACACCGATATAAGTGATCACCCGGATTTAGACCTACCTATATTGTATTTATAGGCAAATTTGCTTTATGTTTAGATCTATATTGCTTTTATTTCCCCGGTGTCGAAATCAGGCATAAATGTCAGGCAACACGATTCCTGGCTGCATGTCAATATCCATGGATCACTGGATCTTTAGTAAGTTGTAAGGAACACTATATTGAGTCCAACATTTAGTTTAAATTGATAAAATTGTTTGTTTTAGTCGCATTTTCACAGTTTCCCCTATTAAATCCAGTCACGCAGCAGATTTTTTACCACTCAGTCAGGCTGAGGGGGGTTCTTCCAGCAGGAAAGTGACGTCAATGCATTTCCAATAGGCCTATAAGGGTTTTTTTTCTTCCATATAATATATTAATATAAAAGATTTATTTTTGTTAATAGGCTACTATTAAATGTTAGAGATGCCATAGACTAGTAGTCATTAATTTAAGCAATTAGGACTAATCGCATGTTTATTAAATCCTGAAAAAGGCAAGAAAAGCTAAGACTTTTGCATTTTATTTTAAATATACTGGGAAATATATAGTTTCATGTGGTTACAGGGTAAGTGGTGCTTGTATAATAAATAAATGTTTCTGATTCAGTGATATAAGATTGTGTGTATGCATTTTTATTGTACTTACCAGTAACTACATAGAACAAGAGGGTAACAAACACCACTTTAATTTACAGCCCGCAATGTCACACTTACCCTGTAACTACAGTACATGAAACAAGAGGGCAACAAGCACCATACATGAAATAAGAGTATCTTTCCCCAATATTTAAGCAAAAGTTGCAATAGTTTTCGTTTTCAGTGCACTTTTTTTAAAAATATTACTTTATAAATGCATAGATATGTACCCTTTCATTTTTAAGAAAAGCCTGTACAGTATACTGGTTCACCATTGTTTCAAAAAGGCATGTTCTTGTTAAATTGCTCCCAAATGTAAGATTGTTATATCATAAATAGTCAGCGCATTCTCATCCCAAGGCGTCATATACGACACTTTTGCCAAAGCGTAGACATTCAACGCACATGGCACCCTTTAGCGTCAAATGAGACGCTTCGGTTATGGTAGGTTTATGGGGCAGGGTTAGGGTTAGACCACTAGGAGGCGCCTTCTGCCCCATATACTGTATATCCAGCGCATTCTCATCCTTTAACGTCATATACAACGCTATATGCAAAAACGGCGCTATACTACGCACATGGCACCCGTTATCGTTAATATAACACGCGCTGTGAGGGCTAAGTTTAGGGTGTTTAAGTTAGGGTGCTATGTCCGTAGTATAGCGCCGTTTTTGCATATAGCGTTCTATATGACGTTAAAGGATGAGAACGGGCTGCACTGCGTTTCATTTGATGCTAAAAGGTGCCATGTGCGTTGGATGTCTACGCTTTGGCAAAATGGGATGAGAATGGGCTCAAATATTAGAATAAGTTCCCCTTAGTAATATAATACTTCTCCTGGTTGTTACCCCTTATTCCCCAAACTTAAAATATTGTTCCCTTATATTGTAAGTACGTTATAGGTGCACTATAATTACAAAAGGTTGCGCTGTAAAATCGCTTTAATTACGCAGTACTTTCTGAGCTGTAATCTAAAGCATTACCAAAAGTTTCATTAAGGTTAATAAAGCAGGATGGGGCCGGGAGCCAAGGAAATTTTACATTGATGTATTTATTGTGCTTATATGCCACAGTCAGATGCTGCCACTCCTTTTGCCTTTCTAATGTTCTTTTACAATTAAAGGTAGGCTATAGTTGCATTTAATGTCAGCATCCTCCATCTCCATTTGGCCCAGAACAGCATTCTTTTAGATGTTTGTTAAATTCACTTTAGGTCCTGTCCAAATAATGACAGTGTGACCACTAAG